GGTGCCGACTTCGTTCCCGTGCTCAATATAGGCGACCCGGGGTCGGGCATCGGGTGCTATGACCTGCTCAGTTCCGCCGACACGGCCATGGCGTTTGATTTTGCGGGCGTGGGGAAGATGGACCATGTCGTGCTTTATAGGCCTGGAACCGGGACGTTTTGGGTACTGAAACGGGATGCGGATGGTGGTGTGAATGGGTTTAGTGCACTGGTAAATGAGGGAGATCCCGGGAGCGGCGTTGGTGGATATGATTTGAAATCGCCTGCGGATAAGATTTTTGCGTTTGATTTTGATCACTCGGGGATGAGGAAGGACTTGGTGCTTTATCGGACTAATGCGTCGGGAACTATTTGGATTGTGAAGCGTACGACGTAGGTAGGGAGGATCTTCTGACGGTAGGCTGCTTGTTGAGGTTGGAAATGGTATTTCGTTCAAGTAGTGACGGAATTGGACTTGTCTGGAGTTGGCGATCACGGCTACGGCTCAAGCGCCACTACACCAACCACTTCATCAGGCCTAGTAATAGGGGTGTGATTGCTCTTCCTCGATAGTAGATAGATAGGAGCTTCTTCCTCTTCAAATCTACGGCGTTCTCTTCAAAATATCAATACCTTCCCCAGCTGACAGCTGGACTGGACTTCCAGGGCCATTCAAGTACAAGTCACTCAGGGTCCTAAGGCTATATTGCCTTCCAAGTTTACTTTAGGTACTTTATATATGCCTTTGATATCCTTGGCTTACTTCTGGCTCTGGCGTTTGGGTATTCGATTATGGCCATTAAAGCAGGGAGGAGGTCCTCGTGTAGATAGCTACAGGCAGCCTCGATGGAGCATCACTCATTCAGCTACACACGCATTCTGGTTGCTATAGCGCACGACAATCTATGTGGTGGTACTTTGGGAACTGGCGATTGTCAAATACGGAAACGCCAATTACCATAGGCTTCTCATGGAGCGAGGCCCTTGCGTCAAGGAGTTGCGTATGTGCAAATACGGCAAGTCAGGACAGGAGTGCAGCATATGCCTACCTCCCGAGCTCGACAGATCATCATTCCTACACCACACCTGGGCACTTTTTAATAAAGTTGCATCACTACAACAGTGATACCCGGCCTGCTCTGATACAATTAGCACACATTCAATTGCGATTCTCACTTATCCGACATCTCCTGACCCATCCGTTTTCGAGACTCCTCCTCACTACACCCTGAAAGTATTTCTAATCAAAACTCATCACCCATCGCCACCATGCGATTTCTCTATCTCTTCCCAGCCTTTGTGATCCTCGTCTGCAACTCTCCAATCTCAACCGTGTATAAGGAAGGAGATTTCAAACAACGGGAATCGCAGAACTGCATTGTACGTTCCCGTTCTCCTCTATACCACCTCCTGATCTCTATACTCTGTTCGAGAGTGCTGGCAACAATCTAATAATCCTTCAGTCTGTCTTCTACCCCAACTCCTGCCCTAATGACCATGCCGTTGTCTGCAATCGATCTGGCGCTATCAAACTATGCTGCCGGGACAATTCTTGCAAATAGTTAGTATACGCTGGCCACAGCTTCCTTTTGCAATTAGGTCTGAGGGTTTGATTCTGGGGGCTTAGGCTAATCGTGGTTTTGGGTGATGCAGAACATAGAGCGGATCATGATCGACGACAGGATTGGAGAGCCGAGCGAAGAATGTTAGTTTATGGGATTGATCCTCATCATGCAGAAGTCTCGTCTGGCGTACATGGGATCGATAGTTGGGTGGTTTGTTTTTGGTGAGGGTTAGGTGGCGTCACTGCTTGGGTGTTGCGTTATTCGAGTCGGAGTAGGTTTTCATCGGTTCATGCAGAGAATTATACACCGTTATCGTTTTAGCGTCTGATTCTCTTGACAATTCTATGTCTTTTCGGAAGTTGTCACCGAGCTCTTCTAGAACCCCACAATGCATATTCCCATAATATGCTCGGTCGCTCCAATACATGTCATCCATAAGTCCATATATCAGTCTACTCGGTTTATTTCTTCAAACTGTCTGACGATACACTTGAGTGCTTCTCTACATTTCCCGCCATTCTGCCGAAAGTCTTCGAGCTCATTCAGCATTCCAGAGCTCTATAAGCTTACTCGTAGGCAGGGCTCACGCCCAACCAATTCAACGAGCATTTCCAGTTGATCACAGTCCAAAAGTAGGGACGTGCCACCATGCACGGTACTCCTTGAGGTCCGTGATTAACTGGAAATGCACGTTGAATTGGATGGACGTGTCCTCTGCTCGGAGGCCTTAAATTTTAAATATCTCATTTCCTCCCTAGTCTAGCTTTCTACTCAGACCTGGAATCTGGCCTGGAGGTCTCCGCAAAGAGAGTTTCATGCTCTAGTTCTTTCCAATTTCATTACAGGGTTCTACAGGCTCCTTTTGCGGCACTTGCGCTTGTAAGTAGATCCAACTCCCTCTGCACCTGTTCTCCACTCTTGCACAAAGGGCTACCATGCTCCCAGGAAACCAATGCAAATGAATCTTTCGGTATCCGGCTCCGCAATTCCACGAACAAAAGAAGCTCGAAGATGACAGTGAGGCCGCTGGAAGGAATGGCAGTCCATAATACCTGTGCCGTCTTCCACTCGTAGATTGTATAGGGGACCAACTTTACTATGAACGTGAAGGACGCTCGACACCAGCACGAATTGTAGAGCCCGACCTGAACGAGTAAGACTGCGGTTGTTATGCCGCCAGTAATAATTCCGTCCTTGACAAGAGAACAGTGCCAAAGCAACCAGAGTTTGTTGGCGGGGTCTCGCAGGGTGGAAGAGCGGTAGATGCACAACTGGAAAATGTAGTCAAATGCGAAACTGAAAAGCCAGAGGCCCAAAATTCCTAGCCATGTCAGGGAACGGCAACCGATGCCTATTGGCATCTTATTTGCATGGTTCGTGGCGGACAGGAAAACGGCTGGTGCACATGCCCCGAAGACGACCCAGCAGACGCTGATGAATAGCAGTTGGCGAGGTCTTGGATCGCATGAATCCGCGTTCAAGTGCTTGCATGGGCGCCAGGAGCTGTTCATGCCCATGTAGCTTGCCATTTTCGGCCATTTTCGACTGAATTGCACGTTTGAGTACTCCTCGTTTGAATACTTCTCGTCCATTGACTTTGGAATAGCTGGCATACGGCCATTTTTGGACATTTTCTCGCAGTCCTGAGAGACCAAGGGTCGTAGAGGGCATGGGGAGAGCGGTAAACGACAGATAGGGGTCTGTAAGGGACAGATTGCAAGCTGCAAAGGAGGAAAAAGCGGTGTTTTGCGTCTTTTCTTTCGAGACTGTTCTCTTAACCGTGCGTTTGTGGCGTCGATTGTGAATATTGCGCCGGAGACTGTCGTGAAGGTTCCAAGTCTTGCGCTGAGCCACACCTGTGGGATTGAAATGAAGAGGAGGCTGACTACTGCAATGGTGTGAGCTGTTTCATTGTTAACTCGAGTATTTTCTAGCTCTACCATTTTGATGGTTCGAATGACTGCCGTTACAAGAGTTCCAATTAGGGTGGCGATAGCAGCAAGAGTCGAAGGCATTGAGACCGATCGCATCACAGACAATTCATGACTGGCCTGTCGGATAATGGTTATTTCCCGCTCATCAAGTCGCTGGGCCTGGTAGCTTTTCTTGAAGTGTTCCGATACATCCTGCCAGCCGATCTCTTCGTAAGCTGCGAAAACAGTTGCAACTTGCTCTGAGATTTGAAGATCCTGGGGCAAAATGCTCTCAGCAGTGCGGCGGAGCCGCCGATGCATTTTGAGTCGTGTCAAGAGGCTCCAAAGACTGTCAACTGGATTGCCGGCTGCGTGCAGAATGACGAAGATGTAGTTACTCCAATGCAGTGGAGGGAAAGAGAGGTGAGCCATCAGCATAGTCGCAGGGATGATCCAAAGTGAAAGACGGTCAAATGTGTCCTTCCATGGCCATGGTTCGTAAGTCACGCCGCACAAATCGTAGCAGCCCGAGAGTGAGAGCACACCGTTTGCTGGGTCGCCGTAAAAGCACCCACTCCGATTCCATTCGCCCAGTCTAGCTTGATCAGTGAAAGTGGTATTGATCATTTGCTCGACAGTGGCTAAGCAGACCGCGAAGTTTGGCTTATAAGTAACGTTCAGGGGACTTGGAGGATTGCAATACTTTTGCGTCTGCGCACATTGAGAAAAGAGAGCAAGACACGTCAGAAAGGTCCTAGAGCTTATGGCCCGGGCCATTTTGGAGGGATAAAGATCTGTTGGAAGTTTCAAGTGCTTCGGGTCTAAGGGGGAAGGATCGGCGTGCTGAAAACGAATTTGTCACAGTTGGAATTATTGTAAGCAGCCTTCATGAAACATATAGCTAAAGAATCGATGCTCTCGTTGAGAAAGTCCGGAAGGGAGAGCTGGGATGACGACTCCAAAATCCCCCTCCCAACAAAAAACCAGCGGGCTGTGCTCGTACTGTGGCTGAAAGATCATCTTCTTTGGAGATGGTGAGCTGCAGTATGTATCGATTCTGAAGCCCGAGCATTCAATTCGCACCAAATTGGGAGATTGCATATTTGAGATACTTCCGAGGACAGATTACAGACCATGATTGGCTGCGAAAAGACTAAGGAAACAAGGCTGAGAAATCTGGTGGTGGCTTAGTCGTCGACAAGCAATTGCAGGCGTTTCGTTATCTCTATGCGTTATGTAGAATTTAATTCTCGAATAATGTGTCGCTTTGGAAAGTCTGCTCTCGGCATCGGTGGGGAGGGTCGAGGAGAGTTATATAGATGTGTCATGCGTGTCACGTGACATGACTGGGTGCAACGGTTCAAAGCTATCACACTAAGCTACTATTAGCGTTTTTAGCGAGATTGTGCCCTTTAGTCATTCTTAGGCTAATGCGAGGTTGCTTTCATTCCGTGTAGAGAGTGGCGGTTTCTTATTTCCTTATGGTCTCCGTTTTTAATTCAATATATAAATTAATCAAAAATCATCCGATTTCCATGCTTATAGGTTCGATGGTGTAGTTGGTTATCACGTTTGCCTAACATTCATGTGCGCAAAAGGTCTCCGGTTCAAACCCGGGTCGAATCAACTTTTTTATTTTTTTTTTTTTTACCAAGTTTTTTGAACCACTTCTCCTTTGCCTGTGAGAAACTATTCAGCTGTTCTTGGAGCTCATCTATCAGCTACGCATTCAGCGATATCTCTATTCCAGTATTGCAGCGATAAGTTTCTTAAACACCTAAATACCCCGCCAATAAAACCCACAAATAATGTAAAAATGACTACAACGTGGTCGAAATGAGGGCTAAATGGACGGCAAAGATATAACTGGAAAGAACAGGCAGGTACTTGCAAGGCTAATATCTCGGCTGATCACGAAAAAAAGCCAGGCAGACTCAGCCCAGGGGCCTGATGACTACGGTTGTTACCTATGACGTCGTCACCACACTGGCAACAGGCGCAATACTCGCCATAATCATATTCCAAATAAAAATGACCAGTGTAAACAGCACCAGAAACGCGGCACCAAACGTTGGCGCGCCAATTTCTCTCACCTTTTCCACCACATCCTGCATCTTCCCCTCAAACAGCGCCTCGGTAGCTGGAAACACGGCCGGAGGCGTCGCCTCATCCTTCCACGGTATAGTCGCCTTTTTTGTATACTTGATCGGAATAAAATCAAACTTCGGGGCGCCGGCACAGAGCTCAGCGAGCGAGTTTGCGAAAGTGGAGAAGCCGAGGAGGGGGACGAGGTACATCATTGTGATTTTGTTCCAGATGCCGTCGCAAGTTTGGAGACGGGTTAGCTGGTAGGACGCGTCAAAGGCGAGTTTCATGCGGGGTTTGCGGGCTTCTTGGTAGCGGTGGAAGAGGGCTGTTATGGCGGATTTGGAGGGGCGCGTGCCGGGTTTGAGGGATTTGTGGAGTTTGTTGATTTCATTTGAGAGGACGACAACGCCTTCGAGGGCGCAGTTGGCGCCGAGGGCGTAGTTGGGGGTTACCTGGGGGCGGGTGTTAGGGGGAGGAGGGATACGAGGATGGAGGGGGGTATTGTGTACCTTGTGGACAGAGTCGCCGACTAATGCTGTACGGCCGAAGTACCAGTGGTCGTAGACACCTTCCTCCAGGGAGATGAGCGTGCCGCGGATTCGGTTCTTCCAGATCTCGCCGAAGACCTGTATGATTGTGTCAGTATGATAATTTGGCTTGCTGTGCGGTACGGTAAGTAGAACGTACCAGCGAATCAGAAACAGGGTGATCAGCGACAGAAGCGGCAGCCTTGTCGGCATCCTCCTGCGTAAACTTGGGTACGTGAGGCCAACTCCTCTGTTGCGGCAGCTTGAAGTGCACGAAAAAGTAAGTCTGGTCAGGTTGCGTGTTGAAGAGGAAAGATAGCTTGTCGTTATGCACCCATGTCATGTCCTGAATACCGAGGCCGGGGATTGTCTTGGAGACGCCTATAAGAGCCGTGTAGGTTGTAACGAGAGCTGAGGAGCAGTTAGACGTTGCTTTGGATTTTAAGAGATTAGATACCCAACCCACATGTCTTCTCCTTGGCAGATATAAAATTCGGAATGGTTGCATTGGCATTCTTCCACATCAGCTCGCGAACTGCACTATGGACACCGTCGCAGCCAATGACAATATCGCCTTCTTCAACAGTTCCATCCTGAATCTCAACGCGAACACCATCATCAGTGTCAATGACATTGGTTACTCGTTTTCCGGTCTTGATGAATGATTTATCCGGGAGTTGGTCATGGATAATTTGTAGGAAAGTGCGGCGTTCAAAAGTTGTGCAGTTGTAGCCGTTTCTGCAAAGCGTTAGCAATTTTATACACGTATTATTGCGTTATTGAGAGACTTGCCGCTCCACCATCATGTCGAAGAAGGTGTCTTCGGCAAACGCTTTACCGTCTTTTGATCGTGCAATCATGTTCTTCAGTGGTAGGCAAGCAGCCTCGAGGGCTTCCAAGCAATCAATCTGTTGCAGAATCCGAGCACCATGCGCCCACATCGAGATACTGGCCCCCCAGGGAGGCGCAATGATGCCTTTTTCGAGAACTACATGATCGATTCCAGCCTTTTGGAAGGCGTGGGAGAAAGCCAATCCACCGACACCGCACCCAACAATGATGACGCGGAATGGCCTCTTGCCCCCCATTGGGGCTGAACCATTTGCAAGAGGCATAGATCCCATTGCGGTGTTAGGACAGAAGAGTTAGGTTAAGGAGAGATACGGAGAGATGAAGAATGGAGTGAGGTTGAAGTGAGAGCAACACAAACTAAATTTACATGGCCAAATGAGTTGAAGCGAGCTCTTTCAACATGAGTTAGAGGGGGATACACGAAGAGTATCAAACGAGAATCACGCCAGACTCGTTGGATGGTCTCCGGCTGTGTGATATTCAGGACAAGAGCAACCCGGCCGGCGCGCAGGCATGGCCGACGCGTGCGCATTGCGGATCTGACCATGATGGTCTCAATGTGCAAAATATTTGGAATACTGGAGATTGTGTTTCGAGTCAAGTGTGGGATTGCCGTAGCCAGCGGAATGTGAGACCGAGTCTTTGTCATAGAGTTGTGATGTGGTAGGTGTGGTGTGGTTTTGATAAGAGGTTCTGGTAGAAATCGGGCTGGCGGTCCTTCGGGGATCCTCCCCGCGCCCAAACCCAATTCATCGCTCGCGTATCCGTGTGAGCTATACCCGTCAACGCGATAGGCAGCGGCAAACACCAACGCGCGACGGCAACGGGATACTCGAAGTCCCTGCGTCAAATCTCACCAGCACCCTGACAGTATTGCCCAGGCGCGGGACCACTGAGGGGAGCTGTCAAAAATTAATAAGCAGTGCGTTCCCATTTCAAAATGGCTTCTCGCAGCTGGCATTGCAGCTTTTCAAATAGTCCATCACCTCCTCTGGTCCCCAGAACAATTTATACGTATTTCTTTTCGTTGTAATAAGATAGGCCTTTCTGCCTCAAAAGAATCAATCACAATGTCTCTCTTCTCCGTCTCCAAGAACTGCGGTCGTCGAGGTCTTAGGAGCGTTCCCCGTGTTGCTCGTCCTGCTCCTACCTCCGTTTCCAAATTCCAGATCGCGTCTCTTCACAATGACCCAAAGCGGAACTCGGCTGCTTCCTCGCCGATAGTTCAGGATGGCCCTACACCGCCAGGATTCTGGCCTCGTGGTCTCACCAAGCCAGCTGAAACATACCGACGAGACGCCCAGCCTCTCGGAAGCCAGCTCGAATGGGACCAGGTCGGCCCAAATCGATGGGAGAGAGCCGTCGACGACATGGAGAAGTTTTACGGTCTTCAACAGTCTATCACTGCACACCTGCCAGGCGCACACAACTGGCTGATGACCAACGGTGCCAAATTCCACTCGAACCAGCCCAACTTGGTAGAGGAGATCAAGCGGGTATGGCTGAAAATGAGATATGACCATCCGCTCATCTGTGCCGAAATCGACGGTGACCGTATCAGTTACACCTCACTAGCTGACGAGGCCGAGGTGGAGCAGTGGCTCAAAGACTCATTCTTTGTCCACAACGTTGACCAAACATCGCGGCAAATATACCCTTCATTGCCCACAAGGCCTCTCAAGTCCAGCGTGCTGCACTTCCTTCCCCGGACCCAGGAACTAATCTTCATGTGCCCTCATTCGCACTCAGACGGACTGGGAATCGTCACCTTCTTCGACAACTTCTTCAAGGAACTCGTCAAAGGCGGCGAGAGGCCCGCCTTTGGCGATGAAGGCAAAAACCTCCTTCCACCTTTAACCCCAATCGCCCACATCCCCAAATATACTCCCGCCCAACAGAGCCGCTGGGACGCCTCCATCAGCGACTGGCTCGCCGACCACCCCACCGTGCGCGTCAAGACCGAACAGTCCGATCTCCCGGGAAAGAGCACGATGATGAACCTGCGCTTCACGGAGGAGGACACGCAAAAGATCCTCAAGGCCTGCAAAGCGCACAATATCACTGTGACGTCTGCGGGCCAAGCTGCCGTCACCCACGCCGCCCGCATCCACGGCAACTGCGAGGATAAAGACAGCGTTTCCACCATCGCATTGTACGACGCCCGCGAGTACATCTCCCCCAAAGTTCGCAAGGAGTCGCTCATCGGCCCACACACCTTTGCGACTCCTGTAAAGATCCGGCTCGGCTCTTTCCTCGAGACGGCCCGCAATACGCGCGAGATCTTCGTGCGCGAGAAGGAGGACCGATATGCTCTCACTATGAGCCAGTACTACACCAAGGAGTTCCCGCGTCTACTCCGCACACCGCCTGCACCAGGAAAAGCGCGTCCGCTTCCGTCCAACGCACACATGTCGAGTCTGGGTCGCATTGACTCGCTCATGCCGAGTAAGTACGAAGGGCCTAACGGCACTGTCGGCTTCACAGACATTTGGCTGGCGTTGGATATCATGACGCCGGATATTTTGACAGCCATGTGGACGCTTGGCGGACGGTTGAATATGCATTTGGACTATAACGAGGCCTTCCATCCTGAGGCGAGCATGGTGAGGTACTTGGAGATCATGAGGGATCAGATGGCCAAGGGTCTGGGCATTGAGCTGGGAGGCGATATTATGCTGCCGGGTGATGAAGGGTATTTGAAGAGAGGGAACTATCAAGCATTGCATAGAACGCATGAGTACTGATGAAGGGCCTGGGGTTGCGAAGAGGGACTTTGTTACTGCTGAGAGTGAGGAGAGGCTTAACTTTTTGATCAAAAGGATTGGGCCAGATTGGACTGTGGTTGGCGTGTCTATTGCAGCGGTGTCTAGGCGCTCAGGGTTTGCTTGCAATGCTTCCGTGGATCGGGATGTCACTATATATATATATATATATATTTTATTTTTTTTTTGTTGTTGTTAGATAGCATTCCTTTCTTACCAACGAGTTTTTTGTGTTTCTAGACCTTGTTACCAGAACATGAAGACAAGTATCACCAAAGGCATAAGTCACCTCCGACTTATTTTCCGAATGGCTTCAAGTCATCCCAAGACGAACACTGGGCCAATTTCTAAAGTATTGAACGGTTCTACACGTGACATATCTAAGACACACCGAGAT